TGCTGCTGCTGCTGCTGCTGCGGTCAGTTTTGTTCTACTCTTCTTCGAAAGCGTGGTGGGATCACCACATATGTATACATAGATAGATGGATAGGTCGTCTATACATGGAGCCAAGGCTGGGGAATCCGGCCATCACAAACCTGCCGCTGAAGCCCAGCACGCTGATCTCTCCGAGCCCATGCTGTGGCCCGTTCCTTTGGCTGCGGTTCTAAGATTGGGCATCTTGCTGAGCCGCCGGAGTTTCTTTGACACCCTTGCTGCTGCTGCTACACTGCCAACGGCACTTATTACAACAACCTTAAAGGCCACACTGGCGATTGTGGAGGAGGGATGACTTCGACAACAAACTCTGTTGCTGCTTCTGCTGTTGCTACTGCTCCATCTGCTCCTGCGGCTGCTGCCAGTTTCCGCAGAGCCAGCATGGCGCATACTCCGTGTGGTGTAAACGCGGCTGCTTCCGTTGCTCTTCTTGTCGGTGGTGCTGCTTTGTTGCTGCATGTAGTAACAAACCAGCACTGCCCTGAGAGGACAGCCGCATGGCTCCAAACCAGCAAAACAGGCAGAGCGGCTTCGATGCGCGAAAAAAACACCGCCTTTTCTGTTCACCCGGCATCAATCCCTGCAGCCTAAATAGGGATACGGGACGAATGATCCTGCGTAGACTTTGCTGACCGATAGAGAGCCCAAAGCATGTTTAGGATGTTTCCCGAGTCATTGTAGCAGGGCCATGGCAGAGTCCGAAGGAGTTGTGAGGGAGCCCTTGTGGCAAAATCTCGGGTGTTCGGATTGTGTTTTCGAGGCTCACTCACGCGTTGAAAACAGTAGCGCGGTGTCGCAAATAAGGGTTACGGTGTCGTGAATGTGTGAAGACTTCCGGAAGTCATGCGACCGCAAGCCGAAGCTCCGACTCTAAGGTCGGAACGGTTCATGTTTTCTGAGTGTCTTGATGGGATCGAGGAGGGTGCATGGCATCATGCTGCAGATCTCGGAGACGCGTGTGGGCAGCAGTGAGGCTTGGCAGCATTTCTCCAGAGACTCCCTTCTGTCATCTGTGCCAGGTTGATAAGGGCTGCGCTCTCTACGTCCACGGTTTGTTTTCATGATTTTTTGTTATTTTTTTGTAGAAGACTCATGTGAAGTCAGACTTTAGCCATGCACCCCAGCTGGTATGGCAAGGCGATGGCACTTAGGTTGAGTGTCTTGCGATGTGAGTGAGGCGTGATGCCTTTCTGAGCATGAAACCCGTTTTACTTTCAAGCATATCCTGTGTGAAGGCCGAGTGCATGTTGAATTCGGACGGATGCAAGAAACTAATTCAATCAACAGTTGGTGTCACTTTTCTGTTTAAGCCCGAACATAGTCATAGTGGAATACTGCATGCGGCCCTCAACTCTATCCAGGGCCCTATTCGTCTATATCCGCAGCCCCACACCGGATCCTAGCATGCGAGAGGGTAAAGCCGGAGCCTTAATCAAATCTATCACCAAAAAGCGACACCCTAATTGGAGTTGTAGATAGAATCATTTTAGATCCGAGGCAGCCATCTTCTCAGGTGCCGCGAGTAAGGACCATACGTTTCAGAGACGGCTACAAATTGTCGCTAATCCACAAAGCATCTTACCCAGCCCTGATAGAGATTCTGAAGCAGCCCTTTTCAAAAAACAGCCCCAAAGCCGGTGTCAAAGCCGTAAATGTCAGTTCCCAGAAACCTAGCGGCTGCCATCGAGGCTGCAGCCTTGCATCCAGCACTCTGGCAGATCAAAGGCGAATCATGACTTTAGGGTCTTTGGGGGTTCAAATGCTCTACAAGGGTTCTAAAAGGGTCCAAGTGTCGAGCTAGGGTGTATGTTCAGAGCACAGGGCCTCGGATTTGCGGTTTGGGCTCAGAGGCTTCATCAGGTTGCTTTTGCTTTCTCCAGGTTTGAGGTTTGGAACAACATGCCAGACGGAAGATATTCGTGGTTGTTTGAGGCTCCAAGAGTTTTCTGGTTCAGAATCGTACGCTTGTGGGGGTCGTTTAGGCCTGTTCCCTGGTCGAGCCGCTGGGAACAGAAGCTGTCAATTCTCGTCTCAAGATGAGGTCTTTAATTGGGGCCACCAGTACACAGTTTCAAGAGCTCCAGGAGCTACAGTACGTGGAGCTACTGCCATCTTCGGCTCAAGCCCCAAGTTGGGAATTGGCAGTGTTTGCATCCTGCAAGACGTATGTAAGCCTGTTTGCTGTTTACGGAGGCGTATAGCACTCGAGGCCGATGAAGGGGAAGATCCTTTCTAAGCCTGAAGCCAGAGACCCAACACTGTAACACCCGATGCAGCCTCAGGGCCCGAACCTAAGCCTTATACAGTGCCCTCGACCCCCAACATAAGCGCCTCAACAAAGAGACAGAGACTGGGACAACAAGCTGCTGGCCAGGCGGGGAGCAAGATATCCAGAGCGGCGTGGTCTCCTTCGAGGCTTCTCAGGGATAAGCCAGTCTTGCCATCAAAGTCGAACAGAGTTACTTCCATGGTCTTGCTGTGCCTGCTGCCCCTCGCCGTCTGATTTGTTACCCGGACGACGACTGCTGCCGTGGCAGTTCGGTAGATCCGAGAGTTTTGCTGGGTGTATGAGGCTGTGTCATACTAGCTGCTAGCAGTTTGTGGAAACTTCCTTGAGACTGATTGAGACTGCATATCATGTGAACTCCAAGTACATATCCCGCGGAGGACGGCGTGGGCGTAAATAGGGCAAGTACAGGAAGCCTGCAGACTTCGACATGAGCCATCTCCGAGAGACAACCATGAGACCTCAAAGTCAAAGCCTGAACCCTGAACCGTACATCTGGGCGATACCGTGGCCTCCAGGACCGGCAGCGGAACGCCATGGTCGTGACGGACCTGTCTGCCTCGCGCCTGAGGCAAGTTTGGGGTTTGCCAGGATTGGCTGTTCTTGAGTGAGACATACTGAGACGTTATAGATAAAAATGCCGATTGAGATTTCGATCCTTAACCCAGCGAGCCGTCCTGGTCATGTGAGAGGCAGACGAAACCCCCACAAGCCGAAAGGTTCGAGGTCTTCGACGCTGCCGATGCCTTGGCATCTGCTGTGCCCTGGGCTTTTGCTGAGATCTCGCCCGAGGATCTCGCGCGCAAGGCGGCAGTGGCATCTGTGTGTGTGTGTGCGCTTCGATTTTCTTTCAAATATAGCCTCGGCTTTGACACAACACCGTTCGTGACAATCCTGGTGGTTTCGATGATGGTGATGTTTTGTTTGTTGCAAACATGATGTTCATGACGATGGAAGGGCGGAAGACCACTTCACGGCCAGCATGAACATGGTCTTGCTTGACATGATCATGAGGATCATCCGCATCCTCCTCATCATAGGCACAACTCCGCCACGGTGAGTGGCACCACTTCCGGCAGCATCACCATCACCATCGCCNNCATCATCGTCATCATCATCATCTTCAGAGTTGTCGTCGTCATCGGCGCCTTGTGTTTCGGAAGTTTCAATTGGAATGCAAGGGCAGACTGGTGCTTGCAACGAGCAGAGGCCTGCGAAGCGACCTGGGATTTAGCCGTGTCCGCGTCAGACCCCCGACCCAGAACAGTTTCACTCATGACGTTGAGGAGAAATGGTCTTTGCTGCTCAGCCACACAGATGCGGAGCTGCACATAAAGCAGCTGTCGGGATTCGGATCAGTCTTTGCAAACACGGTGGAGCAGGCCGCAGCAGGAATGGTGTTAACTGCCACGAGGATGCGTCACTGAAATGCCCTGTTCGCTCACTCAAGGACAGCATGGAGGCTGGGTTCTGGATCCGTGTGCCGGAACATCATGCGGCAGCCTTCGGAGTGTTGAGATCTCCCGTGGGAAAGTCTTGTTTATTGGCAGGTGCCTAAGGCGTCCATGTCGCAGTCGAAGTGAGCCCCAAGGCCCAGGGCCCAAACCCGGGCCGGGCTCGGACACAGGCCGTCTACGGGGCCACGCCCCGCGACGCGGCGCCCGAAGACGTGCGCCGGCCGGCCTTTCTGCACTTGGAGGTGACTTGCGCTGGCCGAGCTGCTGAGGAGCCCACGTGGTGGTGGACAATTCTTTTCTTAGTTTTTTCCCTTTCTGAGATTTCTGTCTATCTCTCTTTGTTCTTTCTGTCTGTCTCATCTTGTCTGTGCCTTATTTCGTGCATCTTTGTATATGTGTCTCTCTATCTCTGTCGCTCGCTCTCACATTCGTTGATTCATTCGTTGCTTTCTGTCCTTGTTTCTTTTGTGTGCCCTTCCTGAGCCTCTCCACAGTCAAACAACTAGTTAAACACTAAGCACCAGCTCTGCATGAAGGATGGTGGTCCCGCAAGTGCTGCCAGCGCAGAGGCAGACACGCAGCGTCGAAAGAAGGTGCCTCGTGTCAGAACGGACAGGCTAGCAGATTCCAGCGAGTACAGGTGTCCGCAGCACAGTTCCGGAGATCCGCAAGCCAGATGCATGCAGTGGATTTTCGCCCATGCTCTCCCACTCTTTGCCAACTGCTGGGTTCTTGCTGTAGACATAGAGGGCAGCAGCATGAAGAACATCCTCACCATCGGCCTCGTTGCAGTCGTCGTTGTCACTCCTCCTCATCCTCATTCTCACCATCAGCAGCATCACCACCAGCTTGGCCTTATTCTTCCTCTGCTTTGATCATTGACAGCAGCGTTGTCGTGGAAAGAACAGCCGCTGTTGGGGTTGGCCTGTCGGATCTGAAGCTCTGTTGGCCAAGCCGGAACTCCACGACTTGATCTTTCATCAATGTCACGGTCGGGTTTCAAATTAAATATTCACCACATCTAACCACAGCGGCAATGACAACCCGAAGCTGTTTGCTTCAGGTCATGCTCATCACCCGTGGGACTCGTGGGGACGTGCAGCCTTTCGTGGCGCTGGCGCGGGGGCTCTCGCTCCACTGCAATTGCGAGGCGGACGTGGTCATGCAAAGGATCTAGCATTCTGGGTTGAGGGTCTACCAGTGAATGGTTTGGGCTGTTTGGTGAGTTGGGTTGAGGCGCTCAGGCTTGATTTTGCGGGATTCCGGGGCAGACGGGCTTTAGCCTCAATGTCAGCTCCTGCTATGCAGACTTCTCTGTACAGTTTCTTAGGAACCGTAGTCCGGTTGGAACTCCATTCATCAAGTGTCATACGTCCTTTGCAAGATGTCTTGCACAGCACACACACATATAAATTATCATAATATATCATGTTTTATCATATTTCTTTATCTTATTTCATGATACATTATATTTTAATATATTATACCATAGTACATCATGTTATATCATATTATAGTACAACATATTTTAGTTGGCTATATTAAAATATATTGCATCATATTATGTTATGTTATAGTATATCGTATTATGTTATGTTTTATATTATTGTTGTATTCTATTGTATTAGATTGTATTGTATTATATTATGTTGTATATTATATTTTTATATAATCATACAATGTTACATGGTACAGTATGACATTGTAATATACAGTATGATATTAAATTGTATTGAAGGATATGGTATGATATTGTGTGATAATGTAGGACATTGTATGATGTTGTATGATATGTTTTACCGTATGATACTGTATGATAGTGTATGGTATTCTATGATATTAGTGTGTTTCTATGATATTATAGGATATTGGAATGATATTATGTGATATTCTATGTTATCATGTGATACTCTATGAGATTATATGATATCCTATGGTATTATATGATAATCCATGAGTTATTAGCTATCCTGTGGGGTTATATGATATCCTACGATATTATATGGTTTTCCATGATAACATACCATATTTTGTGATATCATGTTATATCATAATATATGATATTATGTTACAATTTATTTTATGATATCATGTTTTGTTATATGAAATCATTCTATATTATATGCTTTTACGTTATATTATATGGCTCAAAGTTATATTATCTTATAGCATCTTTTGTTTCATCATATTTTATTATGTTATATTGTATCGTTTTATATTCTATCATGTAATATTGTATTATCTTATCCTGTATTATGATATATTATGTTATACTATATTACAGTATGTTATATGGTATTATCTGATATTCTGTGATATTATATGATTTTTGATGATATTTCATGATTTTCTATGTTATCATATGATACTACATGGTATCAGATGGCATTACATGA